TGTATATCCTCTGGGAGTTGGGGAAGCTGAATTAAATGGTCCACAATTCTGTTCATCACCATTATCGTTCATTTTTGCCTTACACGTTTGTAATGCTCAGTACTTCTTCCTTGCTTCAGCCCTCCAGCTCAGACCCACCAACGTACAAACTGCCCTGGACAGGGCAGAAGCACATCGTGCAGCTATGGGGCCTTTAGCTCACTACACAAGCGGCTTAGTATCATAAGCACCTCGGGAAGGTAATTACGCAGGGATGCAAGGCCACACAAATGATGCTCTGCCACACAGGTCTGTGACAGGGTGATAGGTAGGAAATAGAGGGGCACTATACAATCACAGTGATGCAGAAAAAGCTGGATGCGTGTCTCCAGTCTGCCTCTTCCCACCTACTTCAGCATGCACAGCTAAATGCCAGTGCTTTCCCATGACTCCACATGCTCTGGGGGATCCCAAGAACATTTTCTTGACATTATAGTTCCACAATCAGAGCAGATGTAGGAGATTCACAGCCCTTTAGGTATTCCAGATTGTTGGAAACGTGCCTAGAAACAAGGACAAACGTCCCAGGCTGTCACTTCTAGTGACACTGCACCTTCAGTTTGGATTTGTGGAGACTTTGACCACACATTGCTTCTCTGGTGGATGAAACAAGCACTGGGAAAGCAGTACAGATTGCTTCAATTATCAGCTGAGCAAGTGGTGGATGCATTTTCACTGAGTATGGGGTAGAAAAACACCATGTTTCACCAAACAAAATACCCTGAATGCTAGAGCTGCACCTTGTCTTTTGTAGAAAGTTTGCAAATTTGGGGGGTAGAGGGAGCGAAGGGATTTGGAGAGACAGAGGCAATTACAGAAAAGAGCACTTTAAAGAGCTGCAGGGCTGAAGGAGGCCTTGCATAGAGTTTGTCAGTAGATCGTATGTCAGCGCTACTGAGCCTACTGCTAGTTAGGGCAATGCCATGTATAAACTACAACTTTGGCTTGTATATGAATTTTAAATGAGCTGTTAGTACAACCAATGAATCTAGCAAGAGAATACCAATTTAGGGCTCTGACGGTCTGCTCTATAAGACCAAGTAAATAACTCAAGTAAATTTCCTGACACATTATTGAGCATGAGTGAACAAACAAAAAACAAAAGCAGAATTACTTCTACAGCCAGTACATGCCACAGGAAACCAGAGCTAGGGGAGATGCTGGCCCACAGTGCGCTGCACCAGCCATCCTCCTTGCCTGCCGCTGGGGCGGGCAGGAGGGAGCTGATGTCTTTCGTGCTTTTGGCGTGGTTGGATGCAAGACAGCATGTGCAAGGGCACATGCTGGGCAATCACCAACTATTGAGTTTTGCTCCCAGGACATTTTGGTAGGACATACGTTGGCTCTTTGAGGGGCTACAGAATGCTTCGAGGCAATTGCTTACGTACCTCCTGGAGCTCTTGAAAACTTCCAACAACATGCCCATTCCTGTCCGCTTCTTCACACCCTGATCACAATCAACTTTTGAGCATCTAGGGAGATAATACCTCACCAAGGCAGACCAGGTGAGCTGACTGATAAACAAAAGACACTGTTAGTAAAAAGACACTATTTTGGATAAAGTACGTGGGTCAGTGTTTTTCCCCACAACGGACTCCAGAACAATGTGGACTAGGAGACTTCCTCCAGGATGGGATCAGAAGGGAATACACAGAGTTTAAGGTTGAAGAAAAAGGCTGAAAAAAAGGTTTGCACCAATGTTTTTTCCTGTGTATCCAGGAGAGAAACAGAGCATACAATAGGCTACAGATTGTTCCTATGCATGCCAAAGTCAAAGGGAAGGTCGCCCTGTAGCCTATATTCTGCTCATTTCTTTGCATAGATAATGCCTCTAAAGCTCACTGCAATGCAACACTCATTGCTGGTCGCATCCAGGCTAGCAAAACTTCCTGTCACTGTGTGCTCAAAGATTAAGCAATCTGCTGCCTAGAAACTCCACTGAGAAATATCAGGGCCAAGATCCACCCGAAACCCCAAGAACGCAGCAGCAGAGAAGCTCAGTGCTTAGTTTAAAAGCCAAGCCAAGTGCCCCTGACTCAGCACCACCGTGCTTCCTTCTACCCTGGAAGCCAAGCACAGCAGGCAATAATATCTTCTAGCAACTTGATGAAGAAACCAGACATGGCATTGCCTATGTTCACCTCACATTACTAATTATCTAACTGTGCATTTGAGCAGTCCATTACCAGATGGCTTTCAGAATTATTTTAAATGTTAGCTTGCATTTTCTTTGAATATTTAAATGTTCATGCTGGTCTGTTTTGCTTTTCTATGCAGCGCATTGATTTATGTTGCTAGATACCATATCTCCCTGCCTTGCCAAAAGCATGCATTTGGGAATGATTTCAGGGCTGCTAGTAACATTTTTTCTCTCCTTTTATTTTGTACTTTATTAACTTTTTTGCTGGATATATTGTTAAAATAAAACTGTGTCTTGAAGAAACAAAACCAAAACCCCAAACCCCTCCTCAGCTCTTTGTCCATCTGCTTCAGACACCCATTTTCAGAGAAGTTAGCTATGCGGCCATGAGCAAAGCAAAAGCAGTAATATGTGTGCAAAACAGCCAGGTCCAAGGTCTGGATTGCTGGTGACCCATTCTCAATAGGCAGGAGGTGACTGGAGACACCTGTGACTTGACTGCAGGGTCTCTGGCCACTTTTACATTTAACACTATCTGGCACAGAAACCATGACCTCCAGTGCCTTTTAGATGGTTCGGCAAAGTTCGTTCCTATTCCCTCAACAAATTAGTCCTTCTTTGAAATCTTGACTTCTACATTGCCTTTGCAACATCCTAAGACAAGTTCTTCAGTCCTAGGAGGATTCAACAGAGAGATTTCCACTGCCTTGCCCTGTGCAAGCTAAGGAAATCCAGCATTTCCATCCTGGACTAGGCAGCAGTGGTGTAAGTTTTATGAACAACTGTGTCTGGAGCAGCTCCATTATGTTTGCAAAGGAAAGTCAAAAGCAAAGAATTCCTAAAATGCATGAGGATTTTAAAACTAGAGAGACAGGTCCAAGAGAGCATGATCTCGGTGCGAGAGAGTTGAAAACCACTGGTGGAGCAGTCTCTGGGATGGAGACCACAGCACCAGCAGACCGTTGCTGGGTGACTCTGCACAGCAGCCTAACCAGCACTGCAGCCCTCGGCCTCTGCAGGTACACAGTGCTAAGGAGGAGAGGCTTACCTTTAACCAGCATGCGCTCAGCTGTTCACCACCATGCATCTCTGCTAAGCACAGAGGCATATAGTTTTGTACCTGTACAAGGCAGTGGGACCGGGACATGTGAACCATGCCCGCGTTCAAGTGTGTGAGTAATTTCTATTATGGATATGCCTTCAGGCCCAAGCAGTGGGTCAAGATCTCTTTCACCCAGTAGCGGATACCAGGCACAGAAGACAAAACTAGTATTTGCACTGATAGAGGGAGACAGATTTTCTACCGGCGCTGCAGTTGCTCATGTGTCCCCTGAACACAGACACCCTGGCTTATTCTTGCCTGCCCTCAGGGGTCAGCACTGACGTGGCCTCACAGCAGCCACCATCAACTCCATTTAGGGAGCCCTTGAACATGAGCTGAGACCTGGAAGGCAGCAGCTAATCCCGCCTGGTAGTTGCCCCCAGTGCAGTGCAGCACAGATTTTCATTTCCAGTCCTCAGCCAGGAACACAAAAGCACAGTCCCATCCTTCTCGAACACCTTCCCATTTCGCTCTGGGTTGCACTGTGGAGGTGGACAACCACACCAGTTCCCAGACTGGTCTGCAGCCCAGTGCTGCTACGTGCGCTGCTGGGGGAGCTCTCCTTCCCCTCACGCTCCTAAGCACCCACAGTACTTTCCCCACAGAAGGAGATGGCTGGGGCACAAGGCGTAATGAAGGATCTTCCACTTTCAGCATCCTGATAACATACCGTCCATCCCCATCCCCGTCTGCTGGCTCAAGTGGAGGATCTGCCAGTCAACATGAAATGCAGTCTGCGGAGCTGAGACTATGCAGTATGAGTGCTCCACATGAATCACAGATGCTGGGGATATAAAACATCCAGCCACCCTTCCCAGACTCCTGCCAGCACAGACCCTCCCTTGCTATATTTCTGAGCTGCTCCATGCTCCACTAGCAGAGGGGAGAAATAATTTTACTTCGTCACCTGTGAAAGTTCCAAATGGGGACAGGAATACATTAGCTTTTTATCTGCAACAAATAGTTAATAAAACCAGCTAGTAGCTCCAGAGAGAACAGTCAGGTAAAGCAGTTGCCTTTCTAAACAACAGAGCAAACTGTCAATACTATGAAGCAAGTTTCATTACAAGGTTTCTGGATGTGTTTCTTTTCCCTAATCTGCACAGGCAGCAAGCAAAGATGACGGCGCCTCCTCCTGAACACTTTTTAATAAAGCCCAAAGGAGACCGAATGCATAGGACTCTCATACAAATGGAGCATTTTAGAGTTATTAATGTTCTTGTGACACCACTTAGCTAGGTTCAGTTTGGGCTCAAACACTCCTTGCTCATCAATGTGGGGACAAATAAATTTGTGACAAAAAACTATTTCCTTTTGTGTAAAGCTCAGGAGAGCATCAAGGGGGGTAGGTCATAGGAGGGGAGCAAGTTTAATTCCTCAGTTCCTCTTTGAGGAGTGGCTTTCACTTCAAATTTATACAGGAAGAGATACCCATCAGGTAATGTTACCACCATAAAAATCAATGCAAATACATACACTCAATATAAACTGCATTTCATTTACAAGATGAAGGAGAGAACGCTTCCAAAATGCAGATGGGACCCTGTAGCTCAGCAAGTGCCTCAGCCCCATCCGAACGGGGAGCACAGCACCAACACAGGGAGCCCAGCCACCGCAGGCGAGGCTTGGCTTCCCTTGTCTGAGCATGTCTACGCAGAGCGGCCCAAACGACGCGTGGAAGGATGGTTAAATGCAGGGCAGAGCAAGCTTTGTACTCACCAATCCTCAGGGAATGGGGGCTGGCAGCAATCTTCATTAGCCACAGCAGAAGGAGCACCAGAGGCGCCAAGACACGGGGCATCTTCTATAAATCCTCATGGAGCCCTTTGGTGGTCTGGGCATGACATAACTCTGCAGGGAGAGAACACACGGCACCGTGAGCACCTCAGCTCTTGAACCAGCGACTCAGCAGGATGACACTGCTTCGAGCTTGCCAAGCACTTGGGACAAAGAGTCTATTTACCAAAGGAGGAAGAGGAGGAAGCTATTTACAGATTATGAATTATTCAGGAATTGGAATCAAACTGGGCAAAGAGCTTCTAACAAAAAATGGAAAAGAAGCACAAGGAAAAGTCCAAATATTTCATCTTGGCATTTTTAGCATTTCCACAAAAACAAGTGGAAATCAATATTGAGTCACATCTCTAATTTTTCTTTCCCCCCCCCCCCCCTTTTTTTTTTTTTTTT